TAGATCTATGTGTTATATGATTGTTTTGTGTGAATACTTAGTTGTTTTGTAATAATGGGTTAGATCTTAGCAAATCTCGAAATTTTAAGTAGTATTTAACAAAGATCTATGAACTATGACATGATATACATTATATTATCAAGCCAAAAGTGAATACATGTTTAAGATGCAAAAGAATACAACAAAAACCTTGTTAAAGGTCAAAATTGTCAAGAAAACAAAAGATAAGGGTAAAAAGTGAAAATTATGTTTTTAAAGGGGCCAAACAGATCCTACATGTATAAAAAGGTATTTTTATGCTAAACATACTTTCAAAAGGGCCAAAAATGCAAAATTTAGCTTAATGGGCCAAAACTTTTGGGCCTCACGACTTTGGGCCCAATTTGCGAAAAAAAAAGAAGTTTTGGGGTTAAGAATGTTATTTGGCCAAAGTTTGAGTCATAAATGTAAATAAACCAAATTTAGAGGTGAAAATATCATTTATTTTCAAATTGGACCAATAATATAAAGTTTTCCAAAAATGGGGTCGAAAGTGTAAACTTTTACAAATAAGGGCTGAAAATGTATTTTTCTGCAAAACAGGGTTCTAAATGTGAAAATATAACATTTTGGGTTAAAACCGTAAATTTATAGATATTTGGGACAAAATTGCAAACTTTTATAAATTAAGGACTAAAGTGTCATTTTTACAAAACTTTGGGCCTAATTTAAAATTTTGAGGATTATTGGCCAAAAACGTCGTTTTTACAAAAAGAGGAATTTTATCACCAATCTATTGAACTTCAAGCAAAAACAAACAACGGAATAAAACAAAACGAACGAAATACAACAATAACTATTTATTGGGCCTAATATACACGTTACTTGGCCATTGGACCCTAAGGGCCCAATTAAGTGCATATTAAGCCCAATGTTTTCCATGACGTGTTTATTGGGTATTATGACCCACTTACATGTTAATTTGGGCCTAGGTTATGGATTACATGTTTATTGGGCTTTTGTGGCCCATTTACATGCCTATTGGGCCTACGTTACCCTCTGACATGTTATTGGGCCTTTGTGGTCTAACTACATGCTAATAGGGCTTGGAATGAGAATTTCACATGTTAATAGACCGTAACTATACCTTTGCGAAATCATTAAACGTCGTATACTATTATATGTACCTTTTGAATACGAAAACATACCACAAATACGTAAACGTTAAACAAAGTAAAAAGGGGTTAAGAATCTAGTGAGACATGTCGGTTGGCACCTCCGAGGGTACAATCGTAGCCTGTAGTTATAATCAGAGTTTCCTGGTAGGAAAGCGGGAGTTTGTGTATAGATCTATACGGGGTGATCCGCCACGCCTTAGCTGTTCGCTACAGCTAGACTAGGCCGGTCTAGGGCGACAACATCCTTAGCAAGACCGACATTTGGAAAAATACCAAGACGGGTGACCTAGTCATTATCATGTATGGTTATAACGGCTCATATAGGGATTCGATACCAAAAAGTTTAACCTTTTGAAGATAAATTCTTTAATTGTGTCAATGCAAAACGACTTATTTAACGATATAAGAATCTAAACGATGTCATAAAATAGAAAATATCGGATTTTCTGGGGAAATTCTTCATATACAATTATCATTTATTCAAAATACAATGAATCTAAACTACACTCATACTAGTTTTATCTATTAAATTCACACATGCATTTATACTCGATTTTCACATCATTTTCAAAACATTTTACAGAAAATATCGGATTTTCTGGGTTTTTATGAAAGATACAAAGACTTTTACTCAAATATACTTATGAACTCACCAACATTATATATGTTGACCGTTTTCAAAATAACTTGTATTCTCAGGTAATCGTTAAGCCGAAAGATTTGCAAGTATGTATGGTCTCGTTTATGTAATAGCACTTATCGTACTTTTAACAATTTGAACTTATGTATTTTAACAATGTACTTGATGTGAACAATGCTGGTTGTAATATGTAATGTTGGTGATGAATGTGTTATGTTTCATGTATATTCATTGTGATGATTATTCAATTGTTAGTCACACGAGCCCCCGGACGTTTCCGCCGTCTGGTTCGGGGGTGTGACATTCTCCTTTTGGGGCAGTTCCCCCATTTGAAAGCGAAATCAATGCTATTGTGGACTGTTTGGAAATCATTCACAAGGATATTACACCATTGAAGAATTAAGGATAATACGTCTTTTGCAAATGGGCATTCGACAAGAATATGATCTCCAGTTTCTTCCGATCTTCGACAAGAACCACATAGTGTCGATGCCATTTCCACCCCCCTGTTTTGAAGTGCTCCAGCTGAGGGTATCTTATTTTGTTTGGCTCTCCATACAAAACCCAAGACCTTTAGTGGGATTGTTTTTAACCATGGGACATACCCATCACTTACAGGGAAAGTAGGTCTTTCGATTCTCTCCCGAAGGCCAGCAACACTGATTTCTCCATCCACGGCATAAGGTGATACCCATCCCGCCCGTAAATCTACTGAATGCAGTACCTCCTCAAGTGGAATATTGATTTTGACCAATGCAACTTTTCTTTTGACGATATTCCTCCAGACCCCGGTCCATCAACTCTTTATTTGGTTCGAATTTTGGACTACCGTCAAATTATGCAAACCCTTTATAATCATAGCCCACAAGGAATTGGGTTCATTTTTCAGTCTCCATAACCACTTGGTAAGCAATGCAAGGTTCATAGCATGGATTGATCCCAAGCCTAGACCTCCCACCTTAATAATTTAATCGAGGTATCTTATCAATCTTGAATCCGTTGGGGAAAATGTGTTTAATTGGTTTATTTAAGAACCAAATGTAATTTATGATTGTATTCATTTATGATTAAATGGGTATTTTATGGTTAGAAGTGAATTTATTTGTGATTAATGATATATATTCATTTATGAATATAATTACAATTATAGGAGTATTTAATATTTTGTTAATGTTGTTCATTTATAATTTGAAGTCATATGTATTTTTCTAAATCTTATTCATTTAGTTAATTGTTAATTGTATTTATTTCTTTATTTGATGGTGTGCAGAGGAATCATGATGCTTCTACAATGGAATGTTAGAGTCATAATATACAAACAAACATTACAAAGTTGAAAAGATCGTGCCTTGTTCATTTATGATTATAGAATAATAGTTAAGTATTTTTATTCTAATTTTTGTTTATATTGTATTCATATGTGATTATAGAAAAATATATATTTATTACATTGTAAATTTTTGTGTTATTATTTATGAATGGATGTATATTTTAGATATATACATCCAATGTTATATGATTATAGTTGTATTGTAATTTTTTCTCTATAGTGTTATATTTGTTTATTATTATAACTTAATAAACTATTCATTTAAGATTATAACCGGATTCATATATGATTACAAATATGTTTTATTCTTGTATGATTACAAAATTCATATGAAATAATTAATTCATCAATATTTTTGATATATTGGTAAAAATAAAATAAAACAAAAAACGTTTTTTAATCATGGCGAAAATATTTTTTTTAAGAATAATTTTATTGATTAAAGATAGACTAAATACATTTATAATATTTAGGTAAAAAAATCAAATAATTAGATAACATCCTATGATTGTAGGAATTAATTAATTATCCATATTTAATTAAATTGTAAAACTCCTTTTATGCTTTTATAGAATGATTGGTTTACAACTATTTTCGTGTTCTTAACCTTTTTGGTGTTCTCATTTTATAATCTCCTTATATATATATATATATATATATATATATATATATTATATATAGAGAGAGAGAGAGAGAGAGAGAGAGAGAAAGAGAGAAATGAATATATGGTTGTTATGTATATAATATTAGGTATAGAACCATCAAAATTTACTTTATTTTGATTAAAAAACACAATTTTCTTTCAATGTTAGCTTCTTCCTATTTATTTTGAACTCATTATTTTTGATTTCATGATTTATCCCTAACATTTATGTATTTCAAATGTGTTGTTTTTATTAGACCTCTCGTAGGCTTTATAAATTAATCCGACATATACCCTATGTATACTTGCATGGTTTTTTTTTGATAGGTTATTTGAAGAGGTTTATTAGGTTTTTTAATGAACATTTTCAATCTTTCACAATAGTTTTCTATATTAAATATCAATATGAAGACCTAAATGTAGTTGTTAAAGTACTCTTATATATGTTTTGTTAAAAATATATAGTTTTTGATGGTTCTATACGTTAATATTAGGTATATAACAACCACATATTCCATATATATATATATATATATATATATATATATATATATATATATATATTATTTTATTTTAATTTATTACTATAAATACTAATAGCTTACAACATTTTTACCACTGCAACAAATCTGAAAACAATTATCCACTCTCCTAAAATGTATTCAAACCAACTCCCCGAACAACCCTAATTCTTTTAACACTTCCACTAGAAACATTGTCTGCTACGATCCTTCATCATCATCATCTTATCATCATCTTATCGTCCACAAACTAGACATCCTAATCTACTCTCCAAACCCAATGTTTGACTTTGTTTAATCAATATAAGCCCAATTTAAAAGGTCATCACATCAAATTTTTTTAATGAACCTCAACCCACTCCCATGCCAACCCCATTCCAACCCAACCCAAGTCACTAACCAATTTCAACAACAACCCCTACGCTAATATGATCATAAAAACAAAACTGAAACCAAAAAAAGTTTAAAACATAAAAGGAAGGACTTGAATGGGTAATAAGTAATGAATCAAGAAAATAATATCGAATTGACAAAGTTGTTGGTTGACATTTCGGAAGACGCGTGTACCGATAAAGACCAAAAGAGAAACCATTTTTGACTTTGCGTTACAAATTATTTTCGAAAATGAATTAATAGTGGCCCGAATACTAAAGAAAACACCAAATCTACACAAAATGGGAGAAAATAACCAAATTTGTTACGCAATATAATGATAATCACACCTACTTCTACAGCTAATGGAAAAATCAATGAGAACATGACAACCATTTGTAATGCTATGTTTTATTTAGTTAGTTAGTTATTCGTTTTAATTTTTCTGCGTAGTAATAAGAATACAATTATTTTGAAACAATTAAATGTATATGAATAACATTAAAATGCTTAAGTTAAATTAGACGGACTAAAATGGGACTTTTCCATACTAAAAATGTTAGAGCATTAGTCATAAGGACTAATGTTTCCATTGTGGCAGCATTTAAGGGTTAAATGTGTCAAACTCGAAAATTTGCTTGGAAACCCTTAAACCATTGGGTTGTTTCCTGCTTGCCGCCCACACCTCACCAACTCCTAGCTGCCGAGAAGAATATTAGCGGGAAGAGGGAGTAGAAATCGAAGATAGGAAGGTCGGGACAGCAGTAAAAGAACCCTAAGTTGTTGTTGAGACTCTGGTCAATTAAGGGGGTGTTTGGCTAAGCTTACTTACGATTACAGCATCGCTTCTCGCCATTCTCCTCACGTTAACTCTCCCTGCTCGCCGTCGCCTCCCCTGTGAAGCCACCTGTCGGAGACCTTGGATAGCCGCAACTCCGTCGCACCCAACCCCAGGTTCCTTTTTTCTTCCTTTTTTTTTTCCTGCTTTCTTTGAACTTGCCAATTGATGTTGTTGGTCGATTTCTTTTTATCCCAAAGGTTTTCTTTTCTTTTGATTTCCTTCTTCACATTCGAAATTTCTATAATGTTTTTTTAGTATCAATCGTCCAGTTCAAGTTCTTCTCTGGAATTCTGTTAGGTGATTTCTTACTTTCGGTGGTAATTGATTTGCTATTTGTTTGATGCTACTGGTTTGCTGCTACTGATTTGTTAATTGTGTTTGATGTTCAAATCTATGAAGTCTGATGTGTACAGTGTTCTATAAAAAAAGGAATATGTTTGCAGAATTGCAGGCAAGCTGCCTGAGAGGGATAGTACTTTATTAATATGCATGTTTTCACATATCAATTTTAATATACATGTGTTTTTATGTGCCTTTCAATAAAAGAATGAAATGTCAATTTCAATCGTGTTTGAGAAAATGCATGAACTAAAAGACGTTCCAGAAACCACCATTGCCATCTACAAACCAGGCCTGGTAGCATGAGTTTAGGTCACCATATGTTAGGGACGACTCTAATCCTCCTTGTTAGTGTGTATTTTGACTTCATTGTAAAGTTAGAACTTTTACACTTAACTGTATTAACACTGTTCTGAGCAACATTGTTGCCAGCTTTGCACTTGGAACTTAAAGGGCTTGATCACCAAAAACCAAAATGTATTTGTTTTTTTTCATTGCTGCTCCTCTGTGATTCTGTCTCACTAAGGACCTGAGTGGACTAGTTCTTCTCCAGTCCCAAACATCTGCGCCGTATCAGTAAGCTCTTTTAGTTTTCCACTGTGAATTCTTATGAGTTTTTATGATTGGCTCCCTAACCTTCTGTTTCATGATTGCATTCTATTCATATCCTCTCAAGCTCATACAACACTCTGTATCATTTCAGTTTCAAAAACAGAGATAATGGCGACACAGTCACATGCCCAGGCAGTTAAGTCTTTGAACAAGGGAGCTGGAAGAAGACGCTTTGTGGTATGCTTTACTTTTCAAGTTTTAAATATTTATAAAGATATAACACTACTTATTGGATATCACAATGAAATTGGTTACATTTTGTCTTTGACATTTAATATCTTTGTGTTTACAGTTCAAGACATTCTCTCAACGAATTGAAGATATTGATGTTGATGTTTTTCGAAGTCTTGATCCCCTCAAGCCTGAACCCTCTGAAGGCTCATCTTTTTTCCGCGATTGCCTTGTTGAATGGAGGGTATGTTTATGTTATTGTTATCTTCAGACCAACTGTAATACAGCTATGCAGATTTTATAGTGATTTTGGCATCAGAAAAAACCTTATACAGAGAAATATTTTAACTTTTTTCTTTGTTTATCTAATTAATTTTCTCTCATTCATCTACACATCTAGGAACTTAACACGGCTGAGGATTTTATATCGTTTTATGAGGAAATGCTGCCATTGGTACAAACATTACCACAGATCATCTTACAGAAGGAGCTTATACTTTCACAACTTCTTTCTAGATTGGATATGAAAGGGAGGTTATCTCTAGAACCTATCCTCAGGTATTGCCTCATTTTTTTTTCCTGTTCTGTTTGCATCTCTAATCTCTATTATTGTAATTATCTTAAAATCTGGTATTTGTTAATGTTTTATGCAGGTTAATTGCTGCGTTATCTCGGGATATCTTGGAGGACTTTATACCGTGAGTTCATATCTTTTGATATTTTTGGTTATAATTCACATCTTGTATAGTAAACCTTTCTAGTATTGTTTCTTATGGACATATGTATGATATATAATTGGTCTTTAGTTTATACTTTATACTTACTCTCATTTCCTGGATCTCTACAGCTTTCTGCAAAGGGTTGCAGATTCCATGGTTTTGCTTCTCAGTAGTGGTGCTGATAGGGAATCAGAAATAATTGAGCAGGTCTAATCCGTAATTTTGGTGGTATCGATTTCATATCCTTCAATTTAATAAACAAGGATGTTACAATGTAATTTTTGTTATGCAGATTTTTACATCCTGGTCATGCATTATGATGTATCTACAGAAATATTTAATGAGAGATGTTGTCCATGTCCTCAAGTAAGTAACTTGTAACTAGGATTGCTTTTTATGTTAAAAATCTTGTATAAAATGTCTATATTTGGCATATCATGTTGAAAATTGCCTAACATTATCTTCATTTATTTCTTTCAGAGTTACAACTAAAATGAGGTTCTATCCGAAAGATTACATTCAGGAATTTATGGCCGAAGCTGCATCTTTTTTGTTGAGGAATGCACCTATTGAGCAGCTTAACAGAGGTAAAGCTTTTGGGAACTTTCTATCAGTGAAATACCTTATAATAACTTGTTGATTTCACTTTACAGGTATCAAGAAGATCATCTCAGAAGTGGTGTCAAAACCATTGGAAGCTAGAAAGTCTGGAGCCAGTGCTTTGTTGTTTTATGTCATGAAAGGATTTTCATCAAAGCTGCATTCCAGAGCTGAAAAAGTGATTCGGTTATTGCTTCACAGTGAAATTATTGAAAGTGGTGGCAAAGACTCTGAAGGGTCGAATCCAGTTGTTGAAGTTTTGATCACAGTCTTTCAACGGTTATGTGAAGAGCTGCATCCTTCAGAGTTGAAATTTTTGTTGCAATGTGAAAGAGAGGAAATATATAAATCCATTTCTAGTGGACACTCACTTCATTTAACTCATCTTTTGTCCCTGTTTGTTTCCACTATGGAAATTGATAATGTGCACAAGATAATAGGTAAGAATAAGATTAGTCTAGTCTCCTTTTGGTTGATCTCTCTTTCTTTCCCTTATGGAAAACACTCGGTTGACCATCTTTGACTTTTGCAGAATTCGAACCAGTGCTTGAGCTAGCTAAATTACTTATCGAGACTTTTATCTTGCTGAAGAAAGACGAATCCTCTGAATTAATTGACAAAATTCTGCAGCTTTTGATTTGCATTCTTGATGGTCTTCATACTGGTAATCATGTCACAGCTCTTACTGAATTGTCCACACAATGGGCTCCTATATTTGAGATGAGAAATAAGAGGTATTTGGCATGTTATTTTTGTATGCAATTTGGTTGTATTCTGATTCTACTAGTTTTCTTGTAACTTGACATATTATGGTTGCAGTTTTTTAAGCTTCATTAAGAAGCTTTTCTCAAAAGACCCCTCCATACTCCAGACTTTCAGAACTAGTATCATAAGGTAAACTAAAGTTAATGACTTTGTTGTGTTGTTGTAGTGGATTCTGTTTACTTGTTTTAATTTCCACAATTGTTTTTTTCAGTGTGTTGACTGATTTAATTTCGACTATGGAGGATGAAGCTATGTACATGTTTATCAAGTTCTTTGAGAAACTACAATCATTAAAAAGTTGTCTATTGGAAGAGAAACCCAGAGAGGAAATTTCAAGACTTTGTATTTTTCTCAAGGAACAAATCACTTGCTGGATTGGGAAGATTAATGATGCTGCACATAAAGATCCATCTTGTGTGGAGTTTAGTGGGACAGATTTAGGTCAAATGTGGGGAACTGTTACATGTTATTCTTACATGGAAGATTTCCAAGCTAATCCGTCATTACTTATGGACTTTGTAGAAGCCATTGACCGACTTTTGATGGTCAACTCTGGTATGACATTTTGTTGTCTTTTAAAAACTTTTGACAAGTTCTTTATTTGTAGTTAATGGTTCATGTAATGTATTTTTCAGAGACAATTGGGGAATTGCCTAGAAGGACCTGGGAAACCCTAATTGGAGCTGGCTTAGTTTCTTATCAGAAATTGGGCTTCAGTCAACTACCAGTGGATAAATTCTTGTATTTTGCTAAAAAATACAAATCTTCCATCCATATATTGTCTGCTGTTGCTGATTTTTTGGATTCATTTGATGCGTATGTTGATCTTACCCTTTTACCCTTTTACCCTTTCCAATTTTTTAGCTTATATAGCTTTATTTTGTGCTATAACTATTAACTCACATCCTTTTGGTTTACTTTCTTTTCAGGTCCACCACTCTAGCAGATGGAAAGTATCATCCAGAGTTAGAGAAGGGCAAAACTGTCGATGCGTTTGATATATTTTCTGAAAATTTATGTCACTCTGACAAACGAATCCGTCTTTTCACCCTTAGAATCTTATGCCACTATGAATCTCTGACTTCTGAGAGTATGATGATTGATGATGTTCAGAGTGAAAACGTATGTTCCCTTTTCTTGCCTTTGTCTTAATATATTGCAATTTTCTTTAATCTAGTCTGATTATTGTTTTTCATATTCTTTTTATCCTAGGTTCTTCATTCATTGCTTGCGATTGAAGCAACTTCTCTTTCTATAGCTACTAGTAGGAAAGTTATTCTATTTATAACAAAGATACAAATGGATCTCTCTGCTGAAAGGATACACAATGCTTATATACCCCTTGTTTTCAATGCTATTATTGGCATATACCACAACCAGTTCAATTATCTATGGAATCCAGCTATGGAATGCTTTGCTGTTTTAGTTAGCAAGTATAATAAGCTGGTGTGGGATTTATGCATGAAGTATCTAGAAAAATCAGTGTCCAACTTCATATCACATCAAGAACATTCTAGAGACAACACCGAATTACCCGAAAATCCTGATGGTATGTTTTTTGGTTTCTTTTTCTAAAGCTGTCATTCTATGATTCTATCCAACTCTGTAATTGACATTACATATGTTGATTTTAGATCTGCTTACGTGTTTCAACGCATTTGTGGGCCCTTCTTTTGATGACCTGGCATCCCCAACTGTTTTGTCATTGTTGATCAAGTCTTTACAATTAGTATCAGCTGTTGTGGAATCAAAGTCACGTCAAGTTATACCTTTGTTCTTAAAATTTTTGGGCTATGAGGTTGATGATCTGTCAAGGTAGTTCTTCTAGATTCATTACTTTTAAGGAGATTAATCTCTTTATGTCTTTGATATGCAATCTCTTTGGTGTTTGTTGCAGTGTGAGATCATATAATTTGGAAGCTTCTAAAGGAAAAAGTTGGAAGGGTGTTCTTGAAGAATGGTTAAACTTGCTAAAATCATTGCACAATCCAAAGTCTTTCTATAGGAGCCAATTTCTCAAGGAGGTTTTACAATATAGGTTGTTATAGCATTATATGATGGTTTACAAAAAACTTAAAAAAACTCTTGAAGTTTATTTTTGTAATGCGTATTAATGTGTTTTCAGGTTGCTAGATGAGAATGAACCTGAATTGCAGTTGAAGGTTCTTGATTGCCTGTTGAATTGGAAAGATGAATATCTACTCTCATATGGTCAACATCTGAGAAATCTGGTCAACCCCAAGACTCTGAGAGATGAACTCACAAGATGGAGTTTATCTAGGGAATCTGAGTTAGTTAGTGAAAAACACAGAGATTCTCTTGTGCCACTTGTCATTCGTATTCTTGTCCCAAAAGTGAGGAAGTTGAAAACACTTGCTTCTAGAAAGGCTGCAAGCATGCACCACAGGAAAGCAGTTATTGGGTTTCTAGCTGAGCTTGACATCAATGAGCTTCCTCTATTTTTTGCTTTGTTAATAAAGCCCTTACAAACAGGCTCATCAGGTGTTGATGAGGTGGATGAGTTGCTTTGGAGTACACCAAAAGCTTCTGCTAATTTTGATTCTTCGGGTGTTTTGAAACATTTTACAATGGATAACATCAAGTCACTATCTTCAAAGAAAATATATGGGTTTTTACATGTGACTGAAGAAATTCTTGGAGTTTTTGACGAGTCACGTATAAAACCTGTTCTTGACACATTAATGGGAAGTGTTGTTCGCATATTAGCCAGCTGTGCAGGAAGTATGGAGGGGATTAAGGAGGAGGAAAGTGGAGCAGAAAAGCAAGCCATGGTATTATTTATGTTATACTGGAATTGTGGAAGGAATGGAATGGTTCATTCCATTCCATTTGAATGAAAAACTGTTTGTTTTTTTTATGATGGAATGGATTGTTAATATATTTAGAGACTCATCCTAATAAATGTTTCTTATTTGCAGACGAGTTTGGCCCCTAAACACTTCAAAGATTTAAGATCTTTATGCCTAAAAATCATATCTTTGGTACTGAATAAATTTGAGAACCATGATTTCAGTTTGGAATTCTGGGACATCTTTTTTTCAGCTTTAAAACCTTTAATTGATGGTTTCAAGCAAGAAGGAGCCAGCAGTGATAAGCCAAGTTCACTCTTTGTTTGCTTTGTTGCTATGAGTAGAAGCCCAAAACTCGTGTCACTTTTTCACAGAGCAAAGAATCTTGTCCCTGATATATTCTCAATTCTAACAGTCACAACAGCATCAGAAGCCATTATATCATGTGTTCTTAGATTCATTGAGAATCTTCTTAATCTTGACATTGAAGTGGAAAGTAGTGATACTGATGTGAAAGGAATTCTTCTTCCTAACATCGATACACTTGTCTGCAGCTTGCATCACCTTTTCACATCCAAAACTACCAACAGGTATATTATTGTCTCTGGTTCTTTTAATTCTTTTGGTATTATGGAATTAGCACTATAGTCTATATATACATTTATATCCCCTCTACTTCTGCTAACTTAAATTGCTTTTGTAGAAAATCACTCAAATATCCTGGGGGAAGAGAGCTTAACATTTTCAAGCTACTGCCTGATTACATCAATCATCCTTCACTTGGGAAAAAATTTGTTGATATTTTGCTTCCATCTTTGACCAAGAAACATCATGACTGGGGTTAGTAATAGACTAATAGTATATCTTTCTAATTGGCATTGTAATTTCTTGTTTATTTCTAGTTAAACTAAATTTCTGAATCATCCTTCTAACTTATTATATATATTTTTTATACAGATTCATGTGTGGAGACTTTGCGTGTCATTCAGAAAATGGTACCAATGTTGGGAAATGAAGGCAGTTCAAGAATCTTGAAAACTATTTCTCCACTTCTTATTCATGCTACCACAGAGGTTCGGTTGGCTATTTGTGATATCCTTGATGCCCTTTCTGAAAGTGACCCTTCTGTACTCAGTGTGGTAATACAGTCTCTTCCTGCTCTTTTTTTTTCCATTATAATTTGTTAAGATTGGTTTATCCACACAGGTTTTTAAAATTCCAAGTCTAAACAATGGCAAATAGGAGAAAGTAATAATATTTTGTTAGTCTAATTTGGAAATAGGCCACACCACTTGTTTTAGAACATTGTAGCATCATACTTTCATTTATTTTTATTACAACATAGTGCTTTGAAAAGTTTATACAGTTATGACATTACACTTTCAGATTTGTTTTATTAGGATTTGTAAAACCTATTGAATACGAACATTCTATTTGCAGGCAAAACTTCTTAGGGAATTCAATGCTGTATCTCCCATGGAGCTAGATGTTCTTGATTATGATGTCATAATTGGTGCTTATGAGAAAATCAACATTGAATTCTTCTGCAATGCTCAAGCAGATCAATCACTAGCTATCTTATCACATTGTGTACATGACATGTCATCTCAAGACTTGCTTTTGAGAGACAGTGCATATAGGCTTTTGCTTATGTTTCTTGATTTCTGTGAAAAGATCCTCAATGGTGATTTGGAAACTAACATGGGGAAGTGGTCTGAAGCATCCATTCAGAACATTGTGAATTACTTCTTTCTAAAGTACATGGGGGAAGCCATGGACAAAGAAACTTCTGTTAAAAAGGTAAATATTTTGATTTATATTTTTGATTTATATGTTTTATTTATTGCTGCTATTTTACAGGTGTGGATGGATTTACTAAGAGAGATGGTGTTGAAGCTTCCTAATGTGTTTAACCTAGAATCATATCAAGCCCTTCGTAGTGAAGATGCAGAAAAGGACTTCTTTAACAATATCGTTCACTTACAGGTTAGTAGATCACTACATAAACAGACTTGTTAAAATTACCTAAACACCCTTTTAACTTTTTATGAATACAGAAACATAGGAGGGCAAGGGCGTTATCGCGATTAAGTGGGGTTGTTCAATCTAGCCATTTATCAGATGTAGTTACAAACAAAGTTCTAGTCCCTCTCTTATTCAATATGTTACTTGAAGTAAAAGATGGAAAAGGAGAACATCTTAGAAACTCCTGCATTGAAGCTCTTGCATCTGTTTCTGGTTCCATGGAATGGAAACAATACTATGCACTTTTGAACAGATGCTTTCGAGAGCTTAAACTGAAACAAGACAAACAGAAGCTTTTCTTACGACTTATTTGTGCTATTCTAGATCACTATCATTTTTCAGCTGATGAAGATCATCATTCTGATATACAAAGCTGTCTTCAAGAAAACGTTCTTCCCAAAATACACAAGTTGTTGACTTTTGATACTGATAAAGTCAATGTCAATATAAGTCTTGTAGCACTCAAGCTGTTGAAACTACTTCCTGGAAACATATTGGAGCTTCAACTTCCAACTATACTCCACCGTGTTTCGAATTTTTTAAAAGATCGTTTAGATAGTGTTCGTGATGAAGCAAGATCTGCTCTTTCTGCTTGTTTGAAGGAATTAGGGTTAGAATATCTTCAGTTCATGGTCAACATCTTGAGGTCAACCTTAAAAAGAGGATTTGAGCTTCATGTTCTTGGATATACACTCAACTTCATACTCTCAAAAAGCTTATCGGGTCCCGTTTCCGGGAAATTGGATTATTGTTTAGAGGAGATTCTTTCTGTTGCTGAAAATGACATTCTTGGTGATGTTTCTGAAGAGAAAGACGTTGAACAGATTGCTTCAAAAATGAAGGAGACAAGAAAAAAGAAGTCATTTGAGACCCTAAAGCTGATTGCTCAAAGCATCACGTTCAAAACCCACGCCTTGAAGCTGATGTCACCTGTGACACGTCATCTACAGAAACAGTTGACCCCAAAATTGAAGTCAAAATTGGAAACCATGTTGCAACATATAGCTTCAGGCATTGAATGTAACCCAACTGTAAACCACAAAGACATTCTTATATTCGTTTATGGCCTCATTGACGATGGTTTGAAGGGAAATTCAAATGCTGATGTCAGCAGTACAAAAAGTACACGGGGTGGCCCACAATGTTCCCATCTCATTACAATATTTGCTCTTGGTATTCTCCATAATCGAATCAAGAAAATGAAACTTAAAGAAAATGAAGAGGAAGTGTTATCATTGTTAGACCCTTTTGTTGGATTGTTATGCAGTTGCTTAAGCTCTAAGTATGAAGATATTACATCTACAGCTATTCGATGTCTCTCACTTGTTGTGAAAATCCCTCTTCCATCTCTTCATTCACAAGCAGATAATATAAAAACTGCACTTTTTGTGATCCTTCATGGCTCTGTGAATGCAAGCAGCCCATTGGCTGAATCTTGCATGAGGCTTTTGACTGTGCTTTTGAAAAGTACAAGTATCACACTTTCTTCTGACCAAATGCATATGCTGCTTCAGTTTCCACTCTTTGTTGATCTTGAAAGAAACCCTTCTTTTGTTGCACTTTCTTTATTGAAGGCGATTGTGAATAGAAAAGTTGTGGTTCCTGAGATATATGATCTTGCTAAACAAGTTGCAGAGTTAATGGTGACAAGTCAAGTGGAACCAGTTCGCAAGAAATGCAGTCAGATTTTCTTACAGTTTTTGCTCGATTATTCACTTTCACAGAAACGATTGCAACAGCATCTTGACTTCTTGCTTTCAAATCTAAGGTTAGAATGAGGATTGAGGCCTAATAATGTTTTTTTTAAGCCATGTTTGCAATGTTTTTGATCTAAAAGAAAAGAGATGTTTTTGTTTGTTGTAGGTATGAGCATTCGACTGGAAGAGAAGCTGTGCTTGAAATGCTTCATGCTATTATCATGAAGTTTCCACCACAAGTTGTGAATGAGCAATCACAGACTCTATTTCTTCAACTGGTTGTTTGTTTAGTGAATGATTCTGAGAAAAAAGTCAGGTTGATGACTGGAGCTGCTATAAAGCTTTTGATTGGTCGTGTGGGCCCACAAAGTCTTCATTCTATTTTGGAGTACACTTTGTCTTGGTATTCAGGAGAGAAACAGGGTTTATGGAGTGCTGCAGCACAGGTACACTCTTCATTTTTCCCCTCAATTGTGTGAGAGAGAGAATGGATTAATGAAATAATGAGAATCAGAAAGATGATGTAATCATGTAAATGTTCTTATAAGTTGAAGTTATTTATAAACAGGTGTTGGGATTATTAGTGGAGGTAATGAAGAAAGGGTTTGTGAAACATATTGATGTTATTTTTCCAGTAATGAGACGCATATTTCCATCAGCTGTCAACATCTTGAAAAATGATGATCATCATCAAGATCCTTCAACAGTTCCCCTATGGAAAGAAGCTTACTATTCACTCGTTCTGTTTGAGAAGATTCTAGTTCAATTTCCAGAGTTATGCTTAGGGAAAGATCTTGAGGTACACTTTATTTTCAATATGTTCATGAAGATTATTATACTTTTTTTAACCGTTTAAAAAAAAACATTTTTCCATGAGCCATCTGTTTTACATTATCTCTTTTTGTGTTATATATATAGGACATATGGGAAATAATCTGCGAGTTGTTGCTGCATCCACACATTTGGCTAAGAAACATCTCAAATCGCCTAATAGCATTCTACTTCACAACACTAACAGAGGCCAATAGAAAAAATAATGAAAAATGGATTGGAGATTTTTTCTTAATGAGACCGAGTCGACTCTTTCTACTTTCTGTCTCTTTCTGCTCTCAACTAAAAGCATCACTCACTGATGACTCAGCCAACAACTATCTCAGACACAATATTGTTTTTGCAATTCTTGGATTGCATTCGATTTTGAGTCAACAAAAGGAGGCTCAAGTATTTTGGTCAACTCTTCAACAGAAGGATGAAGAGATTCTTATAAAAGCTTTTATGATTCTTGATCCAAGAAAGGGGAGAAGTATGTTTGCTTCTATTGCTTCTGGTCTTGATGGTTGTAGTGATGTGGAGAACTGTGAGCTTCTTTGCTATTTGCTTATCTCCTCTTTGCTTAAAAAGATGGGAAAAATTGCACTTGATATGGAGGAAGTTCAGGTTAGTATCATATCATTTTTTGAAATTCTTTATCTTTTCTTGGAGTTTCTTATCCATGATAATTAATTGTAAAATATTTGCAGATGAGAATTGTCTTTGATAGTTTTAGACAAATATCACCAAAAATCCTCAAGAACATTGAAATTCTAGAACAATCTGACAAAAAAGATGGTGGAACTTATGCTTATCAAGTGCTGCTTCCTTTATACAAAATCTGCGAAGGATTTGCTGGGAAGGTTATTTCAGGTAATTTTGTTGTCAAATTTTCAGTTGCTTTTTTTTTTTTTTTTTTTTGCATTTCCTGTTTTACCCCTTATGTGGTGGTGTTGCAGATGAAGTGAAGCAGTTTGCACAAGAGGTGAGAGATAGCATAAGGGATGCAATTGGGGTGCAGAATTTTGTACAAGTGTACAGCATGGCAAGGAAGAATTTGAAGGCGAAAAGGGATAAGAGAAGACAAAGTGAAAAAGTGATGGCTGTTGTTAATCCTATGAGGAATGCCAAGAGGAAGCTTAGAATTGCAGCCAAACATAAAGAGAACAAGAAAAGGAAAATAATGACAATGAAGTTTGGAAGATGGATGCAGTAATTAATTAATTAATTTATTAGTAAACACAATTTTGAAGGTTTTGTAGGGTATGAGGAGCAATTGTAAATGTTCAAGGATATAGTAATTTATTTTGTTCAAGATATTGACAATTATTATTTTTTCACTTTTCATCTTTCTGTTTTAGATCTTGCTTGTTTTATTTTGACCTTCAATGTGTTTTACATCAACACTTAAGAGGCTGTTTGATATGCTTATTATTATTGTGTTTGGTAAGAGGCTAAGTTTAATACTGTCAGATTTAGACTGTTAATTAGAAGCCCTTTTGATTCAACAATATGTGATTCAATAATCCAACTCTGGTCAAATTATAATTTTTTTATTTCGTGTAGTATAAAAAAGTTTATATGGGTAGGCCAATATAAGCAACTTAGTAAACTTGTATCAAATCAACATAATTTTTTTCAACAAGGTGCAAGCCAATATGATAATGCAAATTAGCAAGACAAAAATCATTTTTCTTTACATAAAAAATTTATGGCGTTGTTTTTTGAAAACTAACTTTTTAAAAAATCTTAAAATTGCCAAGTGGAATGACGTAAGCAATGACGTATAAAACCATTATTATTGAAGACACGCGTCCTTTTCGTTGTGGAAGGATGTATTTTATAATTTGTATATTATCGTATTTGTTGGTATTTGTCGTTATCGGTAGAACACATGTCATGTATCGCTAGGTTACATATCATGTGTCATTAGGTATCTAGAATATGACGTAAAGTTTGTAAGATGTAATATAAAGTGTCTGCCCCTCCATAGTCTAGGGGGCTATATTGTAAATATGTTTGTTGTATTGCAATCATACGATTGCAATTCAATTATGTAACCGGCTCTCTTGAGCCTATAAATAGGGCCTTTGCCCGTATGGAATAAATAAGAGTTTTTTTTAGTGTCTAAGACTTGAGTTGAATCTCAAAGCTCTTCCTTTGTTGAAATAGTTTGTCTATTTCTGAATAGCAAAACCCTCTGTTGAAATAGTTCGTATATTTCTGAATAGCAGAACCCTATCCAACCCATCCAATATAATCTATCATCTTCTTTTTCAATTTGATGTTCTTAATGGATGATGGATTATATTGGATGAGTTGGATAGGGCTCTGCTATTCAGAAATAGACGAACTATTTCAACAGAGGGTTTTGCTATTCAGAAATAGACAAACTATTTCAACAAAGGAAGAGCTTTTAGATTCAACTCAAGTCTTAGACACTAAAAAAAACTCTTATTTATTCCATACGGGCAAAGGCCCTATTTATAGGCTCAAGAGAGCCGGTTACATAATTGAATTGCAATCGTATGATTGCAATACGACAAACATATTTACAATATAGCCCCCTAGACTATGGAGGGGCAGACACTTTATATTACATCTTACAAACTTTACGTCATATTCTAGATACCTATTGACACATGATATATAACCTAGCGATACATGACATGTGTTCTACCGATAACGACAAATACCAACAAATAAGATAATATACAAATTATAAAATACATCTGCAGGCATGGATTGCGTGGCTGTGGCACACATTTTCCCTGGTTGTGTGGCATGAGCCAAGCGTGGCATCCAAAGCCCCCCTCTCTCTCTCTCTCTCTCTCTCTCTCTCCCCCTGGCAAATGTAGTGGCAAAGAGAGGTGGACAACATTTTGGCTGAGGTGGACCGGTGAACTTGACACCACTTTCACCTAGCTAACCAACTCATGTTTTCTGTATGGTTATCTACTATCTTAGGTTGAATCAGTTCCTCTCTTTCAAATTTATACTTTTGGTTTAGATTTTAAATTTTGTTAGGAATTTGTCTCAAATTTATTTTTCTACAATTTTTTTTTATAATGGTATATAAGATTTGTTTTCTTAACTTTTTTCCAATTTTTTAAAAAAACCTCTTTTACATTATTTTCTTGACTTTTTTTTTTCCAACTTTTGCATTGCTTCGTATACATTCATAAAACAATTTTTCTTGCTGATTATGCGACACCTAGATATGCTGAAATGAAAAATATTATTTAAAATAGGAGGAAATAATAAAACAACGAATCAACAAGAAAAATTGGTTTACTAATGTATATGAGTCAATGCAAAAGTTGGAAAAAAAAGTTAAGAAAATATTGTAAAAGAAGTTTAAAAAAAAAGTTAGATAAAAGTTAAGTTTTTTTAATAAACCATTATAAAAGAGTTGTAGAAATATAAATATGTAAAAAAAAAACTTAATTTGAAACGAATTCCTAACAAAATTTAAAATTTGTGCAAAAAATATAAAATTTAAAAGAGGGAGACCTATTCAACCTCGTATAGCAAGTAATCATACATAAAACATGATATGATTACGCTTTTATAACATAAAATCGATTATTTGACAACTTTAAGACATTCTATAAAGTCAGTTTCCTATTAATAAAATAAATTATACATCATTTACATGTCTACAAAAAATCATAAAATCCATCTTCCTAGGTTTGTGTAATCTCCATTGATCAAATACATGGAATTACTTGGAACATATTTCTTTCTTTCTCATCATTTCAATGGTATCAGCAATGGTAGAGCCAGCTGTCCCAAAAAAACCAAGTGAAGCACAACTACAAACACTTTCTTCAACATGTAGAAGAATATCAGGAGGCCTCATATCACAATCTTTCTTATCCACAACTTTCATGGCAGTTTTTTTAATCAATTCATCTTCCTCTGAAAGAACAAACAACTTAATAGAATCCGAATCATTTGCTAAATCCCCCAAATAAGTTCCACTCCAGTTACTCATGGGCAAATCCGTCATTACAAAGATATGAACAGGCAATCTCTCTTTTTCCCTCAAAGAATCCACTTTCTGTTTTAAACCCTCGAAGGTACCCTTCCAATGGTTCTTGAACTGCCCATCTAATAGTCTAAGCTGTGCACATAGAAAAGGTGACTTCACTGTGTGAAAAGCATATGCTTTCCCTGCATCCAAAATCTCAGGCACAAATGGAAGAAACTCAATCTTTGTTATTAAAGATTGTATCTTTTTATCATTTGGAGCTTCATGTATATCAATATATGACTCGGACCCTTTATATGGAGCTGTAAAAAGAGTACCAAATGACAAAATGGTGGCTGATTCGGCTCTTGAATGAGGACCAAGGGCATTATAGACATCTTTCCTTCGCCTGACAAATGAAATCTTCTTTTTCTTTTTGAGTTGTTCATCTGGTTGGAAGGAATCAAGTACCCCATTTTCACCATTTCTTTGGTATGTCCAAACTGTTGTCCTGCAATCTTCTTCTACAGCATATACACATTCATTATTATCACCACTGTATCCGGATAACAGAGATCCACATTGGCTTAGTTTTTCCAGCAAGGAATCTTGGATGATGCTTGAATCTTTAACACAGAAATAGTTGAAATCGATGTCACAAAATAGGGATACAAAGTTACGGAAATCTATAACTTGAAGTGCTGAATCAGAGACCAATGATGAAAGATCAATGATATCTGCCATTGATACATATCTGCAATCAAGTATGTAGCAGTAGTCACATATTGAAGCTTATCACCGACTACAGATGAACTGAATGTGCGTGTATCTCATATTCAGTAATGACATACAAAAATCCAAAATTGAATATAATGTTTGGATCTTTATAGTATTCATAAGCAATAAATCGTTCCTAACAATTAGAAGAAAAACCTTAAATTCATTTACCTGCGGCTTTGAATAAGCTCAATCGCATGATTCCAGACGGCAAAACGCAGCTCTTTTGGATCAGAAACCCTAAATTTTGGGCAACTTCCTAGAACAACTGCGTGGTGATCCAGAACAGGAGGAATAATCAGTGTCCGGTTAAGTATGGCCGACATTAATACGGCGTTCTTGAATTCGGAGAGCTGGTTGCTGAACCCGCTGTGTGGTGCGTACCAAAGGAATTTCTGTCCCTTTAGGGATTGAACTTCGTTCAGTTTGACACATTGGGAAAATCGGGTGTTTTTTAGGGGATTCGAAAGGAAAAGGGAGTTGATGGTGTACTTGTTGGAGAAGCATAAGAGGAGAACGAAGAAGATTGCGAGGAGAGAGATGAAGAGGAGTTGCTTTGATCTGTGGTTGTTTGTAGGTTTCCTTCTAAATCTGTTCATTCTGATGGTGTTGGAGTTGAGAGCTTCCATTCTCTTCCCAGCTAAAATGGCGATACAAATTTTTAGTTGTTATAAAACTAAGCGCATATTACAATTTTGGTACCTGAGTTACTTTTTTCCATTTTGATTTCATCTCAAAGTTTTGTTTTTTTCAAATTTGTTCACAAACACACACCCAAACCCTAGAGAGAGGAGGTCCATCTTGAGTTCTAGAAGGCATCAAGGGGCGATTTTTCTTGTTTTGGACTAGTTAAGACCATCTCAAACCCTTGTAGTGATTGTTTTCTTCATCTTCAAGTTTTTGAAGGCTTTAATGGTGAAATTCGAGTTTAGGGTTTTGATGCTAGATTCTTCCAAGTATTCTTGTTAATAATGCTTGATTAAGTGTTTAAAAACTTAATCCATGGATTGTATAAAGTTATTATGGTTGAAATACATGTTTTGATTCTAGGGTTTGAAACCTTAGAAATGGAAATCAAAAAGATGATGATTGTGTAATATAATCTAGTTAAGATTAGTGTTTATTAGCTTGATTGGTGTAGTTTCATAAGTATTTGAGCAAAGGATAGTCAGGACTTTTGTCCAAAATATGAGTTTTTGGCTAAAATCACAAGTGATGTCTTAATGGAGTAAGACAAGTATGAGGGGCTTAATGTATGTAAATGTTCTAACTTCCTAAATTTTGGGCAACTTCCTAGAACAACAGCGTGGTGATCCAGAACAGGAGGAATAATCAGTGCCCGGTTAAGTATGGCCGACATTAACACGACATTCTTGAATTCGGAGAGCTGGTTGTTGAACCCGCTGTGTGGTGCGTACCAAAGGAATTTCTGTCCCTTTAGGGATTGAACATCGTTCGGTTTGACACATTGGGAAAATCGGGTGTTTTTTAGGGGATTCGAAAGGAAAAGGGAGTTGATGGTGTACTTGTTGGAGAAGCAGAAGAGAAGAACGAAGAAGATTGCGAGGAGAGAGATGAAGAGGAGTTGCTTAGATCTGTGAGTGTTTGTAGGTTTCCTTCTGAATCTGTTCGTTCTGATGTTGTTGAAGTTGAGAGTTTCCATTATCTTCCAAGCTAAAATGGTGATACTAGCTTTTAGTTGTTATAATACTAAGCACATATTACAGTTTAGGTTAATACTTTAAAAACTATTATTTATACACTCTCGTTTCGATTTAAGCTCAATTTTATTTTTTGTTCTTCATTTGCCATTATATTTTAGAAAATGTTTCATTTTCGGGACCTTAACCAATCATCAACAGGTAATGATGACGTGTCGGTTTTACATTTTTCTCAGTTTGCATTTAGCCCCAACATTTATGTATAAGTTTGCATTTAGCCCCAACATTTTTTTGTTCCCTATTTTGCCATTGTTTTTTTAGACAACATTTCGTTTTAGCCATTGGTTAGCCACGAATATGTATTTTAAAATGTAATAACTTAAATTGAAAAAGAAAAAAACAGAGGTAAGAGTCAAAAATGCGACTTATTCTTGAGAGCGAGACGTGTTACCTAGTAAGTCAATGATTTTTTTTTTGTATTATCAGTGTTTGTTGTATTTAATCTACACATGTATTTTAAAATGAAGGTAAAATACCTAGTGTAAGTCTTGAGTCCATGACATCTAATAAACAATATGACATGCGAATCTTTGAGCTAATCAAAATTGTTAATTCATTCGTAACCTCATTTAAAAAACAATTGGTTATTTCTACTGACATATTTGTTGAGAAACCATATATTTCTAAAGAGTTGAAAATGTGTCTTCTCTTTAAGGGACGGGGCGTGTTAGTTGGTAAGTTAATGGTTTTTTTTTTTTTTTTTTTTTTTTTTTTTTTTTTTTTTTTTTATTATCAGTGTTTGTTGTATTTAATGTACACATGTATTATAAAATGAAGAAAAATGACCTAGTGTACGTCTTGAGTCCGTGACATCTAATAAACAATATGACATGATAATCTTTGAGCCAATCAAAATTGTTAATTCATTCAGAACTCATCTAAATAAACAACTAATTATTTCTAATGACATATTTTTTAAGAAACAAATATTTCTAATGACATATTTGTTGAGAAACCAAAGAAATGAAAATACCTAATGACTGGGCAAGGGCTAAAATGATTTTTTTTTTCTAAAAAAACAATGACAAAGGTAATTAAACTAATAACTAGAATTAACTAAAACAAGTATTGAACACAGGGAACAGTAATTAAACTAATAACTAGAATTAACTAAAACAAGTAATAAGAGTAAAAGGTTTTCTCTAGTTTTGCAAGACTAGAAACTTAACAAATTAACTAACACGCAAATTAAATAACTAACAGCTAAAGCAAGTAAAAACCAACTAAATTCAATAATAAGGAAGCTTCTGTTTAGGTTCGATTCATTTACTCCTATGATTGATTTTATGGCAAGTGCAATGGATTAATTGTTATTGGCTACCGATTAAAGTGATTAGATTCACGTTCGCTATTACCAATCTTTAGAAAATAGATTAATTTAAGCAGTGATCAAGTGTTTAAACTAATGAATTTCCTAGTTTATTTATTCGGGTTAAATAAGACTTGTAGTTAGCTAATCAAATTACTAATTCAATTAACCTCTTGTTGATGATTTATCACACAAGCTCACACATTAATTTACCTATTTTCTAGTTAACCCTAGTTTCACGTTCGCTATTCCTAGGCACATAACAATGTTTTCACATAAATCATATGAGATAAGCAATTAAGAGATGTTCATGCAGCTTAATTACTTGTTTATTAACAGAAAATAGTTGTGGTTAATGCATAAGGTTCTTTAACAAGCTTAATAAAACAAAATTCACCAATAAACAATTAATCCAACGACAAATCAATCCATAGTTGTAAATTTATCTACCCTAAACAGAAGGTATACGGTTTAGCTCATAATTACAGCAGATAGTAACTCACAAACAAGATCTAATAACTCAAACATTGTTCAAATAAGAGATAAAGTAAAGAGTATACTAAATTTTCCTTTAATCTCCTTAAAGTTGAAGTATAGGGTTGTCTTCACGAACTCCAAAGTTCTAGCAACACCTTAATCGTAGAATATTCCCCAAGGGTTCCAGAGAGAGGTTTTAATTCGGCAATTGACTTCTATTTATAGGCTTCAGAAAACAGGGGCTACTCGCCGAGTAGGTAGGGGTGAGCATTTGGACCGAACCGGACCGGTTATAGAGAATATTGTGGACCATGGACCGGACCGGATGAGTCGTGTCCGTGTCCGTGTCCGGGTCGGGGTCCAGGTCCGGGTTTTCCGGTTCTTGGACCCTTTTGGACCGGTACAACTTTAATTGCATAGAGTACAAGTCGTTAAAATAAGTTTTTAGGTTTGATACGATACAACTTATAAAAATGATTATGTTTCTGTTTCATGCATAACTAATCTACCTTGATGTTATAATATTATAAGTTGCAAAATTAATTTTCCAAATAAAATCAACTAACATATAAATCAAGTTCACCAATATCCCTTTGATATGATTTATCTATCGAAGATACATAAAATTCAGAATTATAGTATAAAATGATAGTTAAAATGTTGAAATATTTCAACTTTGATAGCTCAACTTTGAAGGATTGTAACTCACTGAATATAATACTAAAATCAACAAAATTATAGTTTAAATTTATCTACAAACTGTAAACTAAATGTTGGAAAAAACCTCAGGTCAATCTGACTTAAAACGAATGAGTTATGGTTGTTTAAAAAAATTCACAGATTACAAAATTTTAAAAAACTTGCTGAAAAGCTGAAAATTTTCAGCTTTGATAGCTCAACTTTGAAAGACTATAACTCATTGAATATAATACCAAAATCAACAAAATTATAGTCTAAATTCATCTACAAACTGTAAATTAAACGTTGGAAAAAACCACGTGTCAATCCGACTTAAAATGAATGAGTTATGGTTGTTTAAAAATTTTCACAGATTACAAAATTTTAAAAATGTTGCTGAAAAGCTGATTTTTTTTAGCTTTGATAGCTCAACTTTGAAAGTCTGTAACTCATTGAATACTATACCAAAATCAACAAAACTATAGTCTAAATTCATCTACAAACTGTAAGTTAAAAGTTGGAAAAAACCGCGGGTCAATCCGATTTAAAACGAATGAGTTATGGTTGTTTAAAAATTTTCACAGATTACAATTTTTTTTTTAAATCGGGTCCAACTGGTTCTAAACCCGGTAAAAACCGGACCGGACCGGGAAAAAACCGGACCGGACCGGGATGAATTCCTAGAACCGAGAACCGGCCCGGGGGTCCAAAAAAACGGTCCGGTCCGGTCCGGTCCACCGGTCCAAATGCTCACCCCTACGAGTAGGTAACCGACTCGCCGAGTCCCCTTTAAGAATCCGTATACGACAAGGACTTTGTATTTGCTTCGCGAACATTCGTGGGTACTCATCGAGTAGTCGTCCAACTCGACGAGTCCTTCAGGATTTTGAATCTTTTCTTCTTTTTTTTCTTCTTCCTGCAATTCCCGAGTTTCCGATTGCATTTCCCGCTTCCTTTTGCTTCCGAGCACTTCTTTTAGACTGAAAATACAATTCAAACATAATTAAGTACCTTTTGTCCATAAATTGCAACAAATTAGCCAAAAAGTAATAAAATTCTAATCGAAATATATGTCTAAATATGCACATATCAAAATACCCCACACTCGACTTTTGCTTGCCCCCAAGCAAACTGAATTTTAAACATACTAGCATCATATAAAACAATCCCAATCCAACCCAACCATTATGCCAAGACCGCAACGCATGCATTTGTGTCTAAAATTTTTCCTAAGGATCCCCCTCAATTCTAAATACTAACAATCCTCATAAACACTCGCCCACTTCTTTTGAACAATGCTCATTTTTTGCATCCCTCCGAATCATCCGCAGAAAACTTCCTAACCTCAAGGTATTTTTGGTTGAGCAACCCAAGCATACATAATCTAGACAATTACAACTTTTTGATACCACTATGGAGCTCTGTAGAATTCTTCATTTCTTTGATATTTGATCTTTGATTTCTTTGAATTCACCACCTTGTTGTTTGATTTTTTTGGTATCTTCAGCTTTTGAACTTTGATCTTTTGATCTTCACTTTGATTGCTCCAAAATTCTTACAAATTTTCTTGTAATTATCTCTCTTTTTGTTAAGATGTATCTCACTTTTTTTTTCTCACTCAATACCTACATGCTTAAGCAGGGGCGCTCAACTTCAACCTTTATTGGTTAAAGATATTAATTTTCCTGGATACATTTCAAGTACACGATGATAAATATATTGCATCCCTCAAACTAAGCGAGGTTGTGTTTTTGTCCCATGATTTCACTAGAATAAAGGGGGTCACAAATGCATTATAACGTATATAGGCTCAACTAAACATTTGGGTCTTCATGCAATCATCAAACATAACACTAGCATGATTCCTAATTGCTTTACTAAAATTTTCTAAATTAATCCTAGCAATTTTAATGCAAAAATTTTAAAATTATACCCAATTTAGGATTCTAATGTAACTAATATGATAATATGATCAACCCCTACCCCACACTTAATTTATGCAATGCCCTCATTGCATATTATGCATGATATAGAAAATGACAAAGTAAATAGGGAATTGGAACAAACTCCCATGGGATAGTAGTCGCGAGGTTGATGTTCTTCCTTTGAAGCTCCATCTTCAATTGAATTTAGAAATGGGAACAGCTCATCAATAACTTGGGTGTCATTCGTCTTGTGTGGTATAGCTCCAATTATGCAGGAAAAGTCTCAAAAAATGCTCGGAAAATGATCTTCAAAGAATATAACCAATGGCCGTGTCAAATGCCATCAAATCATCAGCTTGATAGTAGAAGAACGAGCAACTCGTCGAGCAGGTATGGGAACTCGCCGAGTTGTAGCGTAATTGGCAGAAAAGTCGTGGTTTTTCACTCAGACTCGTCGAGTCCATAAAGTGTACTCGGCGAGTAGACCGCTGAGTGGAAAAAAATATGAATTCTGCCCAGGTCCATTTCTGATGTGTGTGGGGAATATTAGAAT